AAATCTTCATACTCTGATGACGGAGGCAGTATGACCTCTGAAACGTTGGTAATCATCTACCAGACTACACGGCGCAACAACCCAGAAGACAAGCAATCTTAAGACTCACCGCTGTGAAAACCTGAAATCCTAAATAAGAATCTGAACTTAAATGCAGTATAAATGTCACAAATGTTTAAAATTTGAATTTCGTTGGAGTTTCATTCTTCGCCAGCCCTTAAGTTTGAAAATCTGGAGGCAAAAAGATTAGATGATCCCCGCAGAGTGAAGAAAGGTCTCGATCGGTTATCGAAACTGTACCTTCCAGCCCGTCTTCCCTGACTTTAGTGTCTCGTTTCTGGTTTGTGCAGTCTTAAAATTGTCCAACAAGGCCAACGGAAAACTTTGTCCGAAATGTTCGAGCTTTTTTCGCTAAGAAATGCTCTCGCTGTTTCGCTGTCACCTAACCTGACGGGTGACACGGCGTGTCCATTACGTAATCCGAAAGACGGAGAAAAAGTCTCTTGGCATTTCTCTTTACAGTGTTGTGAAAATACTTTTCAGACAGGTTTTAAACACTTTATTTTCACCGATTTCCTAAAAATTTGAGGATACATTTCACTGCAGAAATCAGACGTCTTATTATAATTTAGTTTCCTAAATGACATTTGTTTTACTGTAAATATTCAGGGAAGAGGTTAAGATCGCTGTTCACTTAGCGAGGTGTAAAATTTGTATCCGTAGCTGAGATTTATCTTCTTATCACTCAAAGCGAACCGCTGAGATGGGCAATATCGCTTACCAAAAGTAGCTAAGTCATAAATCCTTCACTGAAATATTTACGCCGAGGCTGCCAAATGGAACAGCGATTACATACTTGCAGTTAAGCGAACTCATTATATCTGATTTACGAATTTAAAAAGGAATCGGGCTTTCGGACTGGAAATCGATTTACGGAGATAATTAGACTCGAAGTCGAAGCCTGAAGCAAAATGCATGATTTGAGATTCTCACAACAGTAAGTACGAAGTTGACTGTCTTCTGGGTTGCAACGCCGTGCAGTCTGGTAGACATTTTAGAGGTCCCTTCTGCCTCCGTCATCAGTGTCATTAGGAAGCCGAGGGCGTTGAATCTGCTTTGAGATATGGGAATCAGTCAGTCTATGGTCCTCGCCCGATCTTATCCATGCTCTTTGGTTTGGAGGTTTGATCAGAAAGGTCATCGATTGATCGGAGACTTTCTGTCTGTAAGTTTCTTTGGGTGTCCTCAACGCGAAGGACACGGATCACACCCAGTTGCTCAGGAGGCCGGCCTAGTCCCTAAAAATACAACGAGTGGTGTAGGACTACTCGTCTATCCCTGCTGAGGTATTCCGTGGTCTTCCTGACGTGTAAGGAAAATACGAATATATAAGCACATAAGCCTTCATCAGAAGTGATTTCCCGCATAACTCGCAGGGTCCATCACCCGAAACGATCACAGGACTTCTGGATTCAAAGCCCAGAAAACCATCCCGTAAATTTCCTTCCCATAAAGGACAGGTTTTTGTGACCGGATATACTTCCCCCATCAGCAGTCACAGCCGTCATTCCTAATTTAAAAAGTAAAGTCCTTCCTCCATGACAGTCTTCTGTTTACCATTTGCAGGAACGCGTTACGTACGTAGAAATTGTGTGCCCTGGTAAGGGACCGAGGCTTGAGCACGTCTCCGCCCTTAAACATCTTTTGGAAGGTGTTTCGTTGTCCGATCAAGGCTGTTTCCTGCGTCTCAAATTAGTTCTATGCGCGCTGCTTACTAATCGCCCTGATGATGGAGGCGACAAGAACCTCTGAAACGTTCGTTAATTTCTACCAGACTATACGGTAGTACAACCCAGGCGACAGCCATATTTGAAATGAGTAGCCTTCGGGGAATTGTTTGTCCTAGTACATTAATTTAATTTGGAGAAGAACAACTGTCGAGTTGTCCACGAGTATATACAGCAGACAATTCGCTACTGGATATTTTTCTAAATGTCGTTCGTCCAAGAAGCCGATGGTTCAAGCTCAGGTCGCAAGAACTTTCAAACCTCTGTCGTCATCTTATGGGTATTAGATCTTGCGGAAAATTCAGGGTAGTGACTGACCGCGGACTGCACGACGTTTTAGGTTTGATTCCCGACGTTTCCTCAAGCCTCTGCGTCCGGACCGTCTCTGGGGCCCACCCATCCTCCTGTTCAATTGGTACCGGGGTCCTTTCCCGGCGGTAAAGCCGGCCGGGGAGTGACGCTAACCACTAACCCCATCTAGTGCCGAAGTCTAGAATCAATAGCAACTATACTAACTCTCCCCCCAATCGCCTACATGGCGTATAATGGGACGGCTTTACCTTTCTTTACTCTTTGAACTTGAGTATAACCTTGAAGTGAATCCGGTCAGAGCGGCGGGGGAGGTGTCAGTGGAGGGTTGTGGTTGTTTACCTGCGATGAGCAACTTCGCCCTGCCAGAGGACATGATGCTGGGATACGTTACTGGACGCGTCACTGCTACGTAGCGGTCCAGAGAGATGGCGCACAGGTTCAGGATGGAGGCCGTGCACATCCACACGTCCACAGCCAGCCAGATGGAACACCAAACATCGCCAAAAATCCACACCTGCGCACAGCAAACCAACTACAGCACTTCACTGCTATTATTCCCTTATACAGACGGTGAAATGTTTCGGTCTGTCACGTGAGACGTACATGCGATTATTCAGAGTTTATTTTTAAAAGATAACGGTCATGAGGAATTATCAGGTGCGCGAGATACATTTCAAAATGAGCTCTATGACAGTGGTTCTTAGCCTGTACATAGCAAACCAGCTAAAACTCGGACGCCATGGTAATTTGTGAGGGTCGTGAAAATTTATCTCGAAAAGGTGGTGAATGTAGGTAACGGAAAAAAGATGGAATACAGATGGAAAGGCCTCGTAGTAAAGAAACCTGTGACGTCACGATTCTGCGCCGTAACATCGACTTGTAAAACTCTTTCTTCTGTTACAGACCGAATCCAGGAGGAGGTCGTGACGTCCACGGCCCTTCGAATACTCCGAGATGCGTGATCATGATTATTATTCAACGAAAAAAATTCGTATCCTATGTAGCCCTGAGAACTGTTCGGCTGATTCCGAAAAAACCTCTCCTTTCGTCCACCGCCTTCTCGAAAACACCAACAGGTAGATTTCACGCAGTGACTGTCCGAATGCGTCACAATAAATTAATTGTTGAAATGTAAGATTTTTGGATAACGTCCTGCATAGACAAAGATACATATTTTTTATTAATTATATTGTATAACGGGCTATCCTGCTGCTACCTTGTTTAAAAAAGAAGAAACCACGACGTTTTGGAAACACTCTATTTCCGAAACGTCGTGGTTTCGTCTTTATAAACAAGGACGATGGAAAAAGTGCAGATAATGAATAATTTTAAATGTTAATATCCGCTTAAAAATTGGCAAAGTTCAATCAATTTATACGTCGTCATATTCCATCAGATAATAAAAGATGGCGTTGATTGCGGTGGTAAAATTATGTTTTGTTGTGTTCTTGACGGAATATGAACCACTTTTTTTTTTTTTGAAAGGTCAAGTATTTGAAGATGCAGACTTCATTACGCGACCGAGTGCTGTTGAAGTTCCCCAGATAAGGATCGAGATGTAGTACCAGCAATGGCGACGGGTCGGTTTCCACTCTCACAGTAGTGACTCTACATCGTAAGAAAGGACGTGTGTCTACGTCGATTCTACAGGAAGAATCTGCCAAGGACAGAATGTGGACTGACGTCACAAGGAGAAAACGAGAAAAATCATGACAGCTTTAAACGCGAAAAAGATTAAATCACTTGGAAGACGCAGGATTCTAATTAGATCAGAATAAGGTCCAGTGGCGACTTTATGGATGGATAATATTAAAATGGATTCTAATTAGATCAGAATAAGGTCCAGTGGCGACTTTATGGATGGATAATATTAAAATGGATTCTAATTAGATCAGAATAAGGTCCAGTGGCGACTTTATGGATGGATAATATTAAAATGGATTCTAATTAGATCAGAAT